GAAGAAAATTAACTCTATCCCAGCCGAAACCAGGACATGTCACTTCATGTATGAGGGAAACTGAGGCACGGAGGCCTGAGGATCCTGCTAAAGCCAATCCAAAGCTACAGATGGCACCCGGCTGATCCAGTCACACAGACCCACAAAGCGCCGCAGCTGCTCCAGCCTTCACCTCCCTGCAAAGACTCTCGGGGCAGTGATGCTATGTGCTTTTAAGGGACATAGGAAAGGGGAAAAGCAGGCGTTAGGGACTAGCTGGGAAAGGAGCCTCCTTTCTCGTCAGCTGCACTCAGCCCTGCCTGGCCTCTTCCTCCGCTAACAAAGCATTTCTCTTTTCCCTCTGGAGCTTTTTGCAACTGGAATGGAACCAGAGAGATCACGCTACTTTTCAAAAGCTGCAGCCCGAATTCTCACATCTAGTAGTGCCCCACACAAACAACCTGAACTTTCAGGCACTTTTAAAATGCTGGCATAGAATATGACAAAGCCCTGGGCTTCATTTAACTGCAAGTAGTGATGATTTGTACCCAGGGGCTCCCATCTGTCCAGGCTCCTTGCAGGCATGAGGCCGGGCTGCGAGGATGCGTACGCACATATTCTCAGACGCAGTCATTTTACAGCAGTAATGTGAGGACTCCAACCCTGATTTTAGCCAGGGATCACTTAACAAAAAGCAGCCACCTTGCTGCAGGCACAGAGCCACACTCGGTCTCCTGGGATAAGAGCCAACATACACTGCATAGCAGCTAGAAGAGCTTACAGCAAGGATTTCTAGGATCACACGGAAGGAAAAAATCATTAGCTTTTAAAATCAGACACATCCAGCCTGCAAAGAACAATATCAATAGAGATCTCCCGCTGCCCACTTTAAATGGCTGGGAAAGCTCCAGCCCCGAACAGCTGCAATTGATCCCCTTCTTCACCTCCCCTCCATCATGTGATGGTCCTGCCCAAGTGATTTAAGCTGCGGGAGCGCAGTGCTGAGTCACGTTGGGCTGTGGAGCAGGGGCTCCGGGGTGTCCTGGCTGGCGTCAGCAGCATGGAGCAAGTGAGTGCCGTCTTTGAGCTGGGTTGGTGTGCCAAATAGGACTAGGGTTTGGTTTCGTGTGGGTTTTCGGCTTGGTGCCAGAGGTAGGAGGAGAAAAGGATTAGCTGAGAGGAAATGCTGGGCGGTGGGAGGAATAGTTAGGGCTGACCAGCTGTTTTTCTTCTCCTTCTCTAGTATTTTGTTGAAGTGGGGAAGCTATTCTAATGCATGTTTATATCTTTGAGTACTCTAAAGGTTTGGGACCATTTGCAACTCTACACTTTGAATATCCTTTATACCTTTGTTTTTTTTCCCCATGAAGTTTGTATTTTCTTTCTGGAAAAATGCCTTTTTGGTACAGGACTGGGCTAACTCTAAACACAACAGCAGAGGAAAGCAGGACGGTTGTGTGTTCTGACCTACCCCAGCCCCCCTACCTTTCCTTTCCTCAAAAGACCCCCTGGGCACTGCGGCTGTGCTTCAGGCTGTGCTCCAGCACTGTACTAGATACAGAGCCAGCAAGCAGGGGTAGTGCCCTGACGATAAGCAGTTTAGTGACTGGGGGAGATCTGACCTTAGCAGTCTGTGCTGTGGGCAGAGCAGGGAACAGGCACGGGGACGAGCACTGCTGGGGCTGGGTGGCAGTCCTGGAGGGTACTGCGCTCCAGAGCAGCCGGCAGCTGCTGGGCATAAGCCCGCACAAGCTAGACAAGAAGAACTAGGCCAAATACACAATATACCTAATTTGAAATTAGTTTTTCTGCCTTATCTGTCTCGTGGTTAAGTGGAGCTCAGCATTGTTGTGCTTGGGCCTGGAGGAAGGACAGCAAAGCATGATTTGAGTTACGCTGGGCGCCACCAAACAGCATCCTCTTCTTAGTTGAGGGAGGCTGGTGACGTTAAGTGCGATTTTGGGGGTATGTGGCTGAGGGAGTGAATAACCTGGCTCTGAGGAAAGGATCAAGCCCTCTTGCCCGCAGTGGGAGCTTCCTGGGGGGTGTTTGTTCTGCTTTACTGGGCTGCAGCCAGAAGTGGGCTCCACTGACCCCTCTCTCTGTGTCTAGGCTGCTTTAAGTCAAGGCAAAAAAAAATTTTTTTGGTGGCTCCTGTTGCTTGGAGACCCACCTGGGGAAGGGGGACAGACCTAGTGTTGGAAAAGCTTTGTAACTAATGTTAATCCTATGCTAATGGCTCTGGCCACTGCTGACTTGAAGGTGCAAGCTTGCTTGCAAGGATGCCTTCTGCAGCAGCTGGTAAATCAGTGCCTGTACCCTACTCCTGTTACACCGGCATGAATGGCCTCCTTATCAGCTTATGTTGCTTAGTGGGGTGGGAGACCCCGATGGGGTGGTGGCTGTGAACCTGGGTTCCCTGACAGAGGGCTGAGACAGGCAGCTGGCCTGCCTCAACCCTTCCTTTAGCAGGAAACTGCAAATGTGTTTGGTCTGCCAGAGCTGGTTGTGCCTTGGCCTAAGCACTGCTAGCAGGTTTGCCTTGGGTCAGGCTAACTCCTGTGTTTGGCCCTGCAGGGACTGGTCGTTACTCAGCTGGACATACAGCCTGGCGAGTGCATCAAGGTCAAAGGGAAGATCCTGTCTAATGCCAAAGGGTGAGTGAGGAGGTGGCGAATGGATTGATGTGGCACTGGAGGGAGCCTGAGCTCCTGCTGTGTCCAGCTTGTCAGCACTGGGTAGCTGGAGCTACCTTTGCACTGCCTCTCTGTTTCCCCAGGTTTGCTGTGAATGTAGGGAAGGACAGCAGCACCCTCATGCTGCATTTCAACCCTCGCTTTGACTGCCACGGGGATGTCAACACCATTGTGTGCAATTCGAAGCAGGATGGCACGTGGGGTGAGGAGGAGAGGAAGGCTGACTTTCCCTTCCAGCAAGGTGACAAGATCGAGGTGAGGCCCCAGGGATGTGTGCGAGACCCTGGCACAGACGGTGAACGGGCCAAGGGCACGGCTTCTTAATGCTGCCTTGTACCTCTGTGGTGGAGGAGCAGGCGTGGAAAGGGGACCAAGCAACAGGGGAAAAGCTAAAGCCAACCCGCTGTCTAGACCTGCTCTGCTCAAGTCAATGCCCAACAGCTCAGATGTGTTAAATGCCTTACTTCTGCAAGCTGCACAAGTAAGAGCAATTAAAACACTGACCTGAGATTCCGACTGGGTCTGTCTCATCCCTTTGTTGCAGAAGCTTGGAGCTGACCTTGGGGCGGAGCAAACAGGCTTCCTCCCCTCCATGCCTCTGCTGGGCAGGGAGGAGACTGAGCTAGTGAGCATGGCCTTGACACCAGCAGCTGCCTCATCTGTCCTGTCCCCAGATTGGAGGTAGTAGGGAGTGAGGCTTGTGAGCTGCGATGTGCTAGCCTTCCTTCTTGTGGCTCTCTACAGATTTGCATCTCCTTCAATGAAATGGAGGCAATGGTGAAGCTGCCTGAGGCGGAGTTCCAGTTCCCTAATCGGATGGGCATGGAGAAAATTGAATACCTGGCTGTGGAGGGTGACTTTAAAGTCAAAGCCATTAAGTTCAGCGAACAGCTATAGTGTGGTTTGTTTTGTTTTCTTCCCCCCTGCATAGTGAAATAAACCCAAACTTGCAATGGCTGCTTCTCTGCTGTTTTCTGCTCTAATCTGCTTGCTCCTGTGTGTGCTACAGGGGTGGGCAGTGGGAAGGGGTATGTATACATCTGTGTGCATACTTACACTGCGGCCTTGCAGCTGGTACTGAGTTAGACCAGGCAAAGCATGATTTACTGTGAACAAAGCTATTCTCTAAGCTGTGAGCTTAGCAGTAGTTGCTTCCTCGACCCTGTTGTCTGCAGTGAGTAGTCCCTGGCTGTTGGGTTTCTAAACTCTGGCACTAGTCTCAGCCAGGGAAGCTCAAACAAGTGTATGTTGAGCATGTGTTGTGCCAGCTCTGACCAAGAAGTGCTGCTTGTATCTCCTTGCTGGGGATGGGGGACTGACAGGGAACAGGGCATGGCTTGTGCTCTTGCAAATAACTGTGCTTTCTAAGAACACGCTCAGCAGTTGGGTGCATTGCAGGCTGGCACTGGCATACGTAAGGAACAGAGCAGGCAAGACAGGCTAATTGCACTTGCTAGGGGAAAAGGCATGGAGCGTAAGGTGAAGCCTGACAGAAAACTTGAGTGAGGTCTGGAGAGCATCCAGGCTGCCTGTGTGGCTTCATGACACTGTCAGAGACTCAGTATCATGTTGCACCATGAAGTTGGTGGCTTAGCAACATGGCAGGTATATGTGACAAGCCATGTAGCAGACTGCAGGTCAGTGTCTGTAACACTTGGCTGCGAAGCTCCAGATGCAGCCTGGCTGTATTGAACAGAGTTACTAGAGGTAGTAAATCCTGAGTGCACCAAGCACAACTAGCTGCAGTAAAGCAGACCAAAAAAAAAGAAAAAGCTTAGTAAACAGTCTCTTCTGCATACAAGCTCTTTGCTCTGCTCCTGCAATGCCTTGGAGTGTGTTTGCTACTGCTATTCCCCATATTCCCAGCTGCCTGCGAGCCATGCCTACCCAAGACAGGGCTCAAGTTGGGAGTCCCGCAGCATTTGAGGACCTGATGAAACATAAAGAAGTTCTGACTGCGGTATGAAACATAAAGAAGTCCTGCCTGCAGTGGAGAGCTGGGAGCCTGGGCAGGCCGCCCTGGTTTTGGGGCTGGTTGTGTGACTACTGAAGCTACAACACTGCTGCCCCAGTGCAGCCTAGCTGGTAACTGACTGTGCTGGTGAGGTCTAGCTTAGCCAAATGCTGCTGAAGTGGTGGAATTTGACTCCTGCTGGCTAATCTCTCTCAGCAGGGCTGTTCTAGACCAGGGCTGCATCTGCTGCTCCTTTGAATAGCTGAGCAGTTGGGCCAGCTGCTTGGGTAGGGACAATACCCCTCTGCAGAGTATTTTGGCCATTTGAAGGCTTTTTATGGAGCAGCTGACAGGCTGCAAGCCTGTTGCCTTCATGTCAGCATAATTGCTGCATGGCAGTAATACCGTGACCGATTGGGGATTTGCTTTGGATGGTGGGCCCTCCTGCTGTACTGATGTCATTTTTCTCTCTGCTGTCTGATAACCCTTGTTCTGGAGGCTGCCTTGCACCTCTGCCAGAAGGGCATGGGTTGTAGCTGTGTCTTGCCAGTCACCCTGTGAGCAGAGACATTGTGACTGTGGCTAGACAGTGTCCTTCCTTTGTTCTCCAGAGCTGGTGCAGCTCATGATAGCAAGGGACTTGGTGTGCAAATAAGCAGGAGGCTTTCTGGGCACCTGTCCCGCTGGTGAGGTATGTGTGTCTGCGGAACACCAAAGGGCTCTGCTGCAGTGTCAAAGTTCAGCAAAAGTTTCCACTATGTGCCTGCTGGGAGGGGGGGAAGGGGCTGCTGTAACCCATCTCCCGTGTGGGAGTAGGACAGAGACAGCACGCACCCTGCACAGCAGGAGCCTGGCCGTGCTGTGGGACTAGCTCATTTGATATTGATGGGGGCACAGATAATGGTGCTTATAATTCCTGCCCTGCATATACTGCATTATTTACAGGATAGGAGGTTAGTTTTTAGAGGATAGGATGTGTTTACTAGGCAAAGGATGAGACAAGTCTTGCTGATGCTTTGCCTTGCCAAGTAAGTCTTGAGTTTTTTTTTTTTTTTTTGAAGTCTATTTGTACTTGAGGTGGGGGCTGGGGAGAAAAGGATGGCTCTTGTCTTGTTTCCCCCTCTATGCCTTTGTTACGTTATCTGACTGAAGGTAACCCAAATGATGAAGCCTATAAGCACTTAAAAAGTACAATGCCCTTATGTTGCAGAGGCACAGAGGAGCTTAGGGCTGGTCCCTCTGCTGTCTCTGTTCCTGGCTGCCCTGATTAGATCAGGTATACGTTTGCCAGCACTGACAAGAGTAAAGCTGATCTCATTTTTGCCTGTTAAGCTGGCAGTCCTGATTTCTAGGTAGGTTAGCCACAAGTGTTCTTGACTGCTACTGCTATGCTCAGGGTACAAACAGTACTGTCGCGGGGGCCAGCCCCCTCTTGTACTTTTCACAAGAGTTAATTGGGCTTATCCTGCTAACACTGGCAGCTACCACTCAGGAGACCACAAAACAGGAGAAAGGGTAGGAAGGAAGCATGCCTTTACCAGCACTTCCTGCTTCTTGAGTTTTGTGCTCCCATATCCCAGAGCTATAAATACTCCTCTTCCTCTAAGTGGCACTGGTAAACAGGCAGAGTAAATGCGGAGTGCCCTGGCTGGCTCCTGGAGGGATGATAAGACTTTTTTTCTGTTAGAGCGATCAGGAAAGCAAGCACTGTGCACCCTGGGGCAGGCAGAGGGTCACAGTGAATGTCCAAGCAGGCCTCCTCCCTGCCAAGTATGCTCTCCTGAAGTGCATGGTGAACTCAGCTTGTCAGTATCTCTGGGAGGACCCTGAGCCCTGCTTGCTTTGGGGAGGAGCAGAAAGCACCACAGCATGGCCTAAGGGTGTGTGGGGGTGTCTTTTTATTTAAATCCTGCGTTGTGTGTAGTCAGTCTTGCAGTCCAGCAACACATCCCGCCAGGAGCCTAGGGAAAGAATCTGCCCCTTGGTTGCCTGAACACTGAGAGTAAGTTGTGGGGGGAACAACACTGATCCCTGTTGAGAGGGATGCATTTGCTGAAACCTGCAAGATTGCTAATCTGTACTCAGCCTCTGTCCCTGGTTATTTGCCAGGAACCAAAGCTGCACCAATTTATTTCTTTACAGCATCATAGTGAGGGAAAATGGGACCTTGAAAACCCTGCAAAACAGCTGTGAGGCTTTGTGTTGTAGATTGGAGATTTACATTGGGTATGAGGAAAAATTTCTTTGGGGTTGTCAAGCATTAGAACAGGCTGCCCAGGGAAGTGGTTGAGTATTTAAAAGACATGTAGATGTGGTGCTTAGGGACGTGGTTTAGTGGTGGACTTGGCAGTGCTAGGTTAGGGGTTAGACTTGATTATCTTCAGGGTCTTTTCCAACCTAAATGATTCTATGAACACAAATTAAGTGATGTATGTTATCACCTTGTGTCTAGGAAGAGGAGAACAAATACCCAACTAGAAAAGAGATTAGTTTGGAAACAGTAGAGATGTGACAGGAATTAAATCTCATGCAGGACCTAAAAGAGTGGTGGCTAAGACAGACCAACAGCTTTGTCTTCTCAAAAAATAACTTCTCCCTGAGCAGTTCACAGTAACTTCACTTGACAGAAATAGGCCATCCAAGTGACTCTGGAGCTACACAAGCACGCATGTGACACTGTTCAGCACAGCCTCAAAAGACAGTTGCAGGACGCTGTGCACCCAGAAACTGTGCATGGTGTAAGTATGTGTAGTGTGTGGAAGGAGGGTGCTGAGGTAAGCTGGTGGGTGATGCAGGTTGTGGCAGGGCATGGGAAGCCAGCTGGGTCACTTGCCATTGGAATTTACAAGCAAAAAAGGTGCAAGACAATTTCTTCCAAACAATATACATAAGAAATTAACCGATATCTGTTGTACAAAAAGAAAAGGTGACCACCAGCCAGCTTTGCAGTGTGCTGACAGTCCCATTCTTTGTCTCCTCACTTCCCGCTCCCTTAGCTCCGGTTTCAACATTTAAAAACCAAAGGGAACTTCCATCACTTACTTTTGGAAAGTCAGCATGAAACTGTAAGCTGCATGACCTGAAAGCTGGTCCACCATTCTGGTGCAGAGCATGGGAAACCTTAACCACAGAATTCCCCTTTCCCGTAGCATGATGGAGGTCTGAGCACAAGGCTGGCTGCTGCTGGTGTGGGATACCAAGCCCTTGGGGTCAGGCAGCTACAGACCATCCGTGGTCAGGAGCCAAGGAATGAGGGCAAGTCCTTCATGCCAGTGGGGGACACCACTGGGCCTGTGTGCCATGCAGAGACCCCCCGGATATGTGCACCAGCAAGTCCCCACATGCTGGGGCCCTCCCTCTGAGGACATGGCTGTGAAAACCAAACCCCCAACATGCCTGTTTTCCAACAAACTGGACCATTTTTCCCCCTCAACCCCAACCCGGCTGCTCCACAGGGGGTGCAAGCAGGCAGGCACAGGCTGCAAAGCCTTCCCACATCAGGGAAAAAATGTATAAAAATATGTATGTACTCACCTTTTGGCTTCTGGCTGAGTGCATCCTCCTGCAGTGCCTTGTGTGGGCTCCTGACCAGCTGTCCCTCATTAGCCCCAACTACCCCTCCAGGTACTAACTATAAAAACACACCAGGAGGGGTGGGCAGCAAGCCCTGCTATAATTTTTGGAGATTCTGGTGAGGGATGGGTGCTGGGGGGGTGTCCCGGCGTCTCCCCTGCTGTGCACTGCTCCCTTCAGCAGCCTGTGGCAGCGG